CGCATGTAAGGAAAGAATGGTTGGAAGAGTTTTTGTTGTCCTTGTTTTGTCAAAACTCTTCCAATTTTCATTGTGAAGCTGTGAAACAACGAACGAATTTCGCGCTTCTTCTATGAGACATGTTTTTTTAGATACACTCAGCCCATATGACTGAATGTTACACGCATGCAATTGTCGTTGAGGAGATGAAATCCTGATGGAATCAGAGAGACAGACAATAATGTTGCAGATTACACATTAAATAAAAAAAAAGGAAAGGAAAAAAGATAATACAACATAGTAACATACTGGACGCAGCTCATGTGGCCGAATGGTATATGCCATGATAGTGGTGGGCCCGAATGATGACAGTGTCGAGACACCGGATGCCAATTGGACTGATTGATACCAGATGCCCAAAAGAATTGATAAATCTGGAAATATCCGTTCGGGGTCCTGTCTGGATGTCCGAATACATCCCAGAATATCCGGATATAGAAAAAAAAAAGAGGAAACGGATGTATGGGTGGGTGGGTGGATGAGTGGATGGGTGGATGCATGGATGGATGGATGGGCAGGCAGGTTTAGAGAGAGAGAGAGAGAGAGAGAGAGAGAGAGAGAGAATGGATGGATGGATGGATGGGATCCAGGAAGAATCATCCTCTCTCCAGAATGTTCAGATGAATACTCTGAAGGGATACCAAGGTAAGGATTCGTAGGCAGGAGTTGCTGGTTGCCTTAGCGACCGGAGAGAAAATGCATCAAATTTCTTAATTCCACCTGGAGTTCTTGACAATCACTCCGTTTTGAGTGTTGAAGGAACACAGGCAGTGGCTTCCGCTCGGGAAGTCGGATACGGAAATTCTCCGCCGACCCTGGCTAGTAAGCTGTCAGATCAACGAACGACTAGTAGGACTCTCTCTCTCTCAACATTTTGTCAACCTCATGGAATGGAGAGAGATGACACTTAGGTTCAAACTCACTCACTTAAATTCACACTCACTCAAACTCACTTAGGTTCAAACTCACTCAAACTCACTTAGGTTCAAGCTCACTCAAACTGACTTAGGTTCAAACTCACTCAAACTCACTTAGTTTCAAGCTCACTTTCAAACTCACTTAGGTTAAGCTCACTTAGGTTCAAACTCACTTAGGTTGAGCTCACTTAGGTTCAAGCTCACTTAGATTCAAACTCAGTTACTAGGTTCAAACTCAGTTACTTGGTTCAAACTCCGTTACTAGGTTCAAACTCAGTTACTAGGTTCAAACTCACTAAATGGA